CGAATGCTCTTCAAGGGCTGCCCCATGTAGAGCACGTTGCAGTAGTCCAGTCTTGAGGACACAAGGGCATGAGTGACTGTTGCGAGGACCTCCCGGTTCAGGTAGGGACGCAATTGGCGCACCAGGTGAACCTGGGCAAATGCCCCCCTGGTCACAGCCGACAAGTAGTGTTCAAAAGTCAGCTGTGGATCCAGGAGGACTCCCAAATTGCGAACCCTGTCTATCCTGCTATTCCCCATCACGTATGACTGAAACTGGCCATTTGCAGTGATTTCGAGAACTGAAATGGATGTCCTCTTGGATGGATTGGAAATCAATCTTGTCACAGATTTCCATATTCAATTTCCAGGATGGCATCTATTTTAATAATGATATCAGTTAAAGAAACACATCAGAGAGAGAGCAAGATAGAAGTGTTAATGTGCAGGATGAACAGACCACAACCTCTTTATGGATTATAATTCATACATTTTTGCTTTTAATTGTTACTACTTGACTAATGAAACTGAAAGCGCTACCCATTATGTATTTTACTTATTACGTTCTTGTAGGGTCTTGTGGCAAGTGACCATCCCTGAAAGCAAATCAAGGAAAATAAATAACTTGCAATGATTTGTGTGTGGTTTTTTTTTAATTAACCATGACAAAGAGACACTTGCAGATGAAAATCATGGTCAGTCTATGGATGATGGGGCAGGTGGCATCAGTGCCAACCTGGTCTCAAAGGAAATAGCCAACCTGGTCTCAAAGGAAATAGCCAAGGGGCTACAACCGTCTCCTGTGCTCCCACATAGTATGCAGCCTCTTGCGTCGGGATGCTAAGAACAAGACCCATACTTAAATGTCTTGATTTTTGGGTAAGAACATGGCGGGAAACATTTATTTCTTCAGGTTTTGGAGTCCTAAACCATTTGAATATTTAAATAGCATTGCTAAAAGATTAGTGTCTGACAGGTAATGCTGGGGTACCCATGCAATTCTTTTAGGATTTGCGTTATGCCATTTCTGAAGGACGTCTCACATAATGTAATAGCTGCCTTATTCTGCACTTTCCAAATCACCTGTCACTCATGCTTTGGTTATTTTATGGCTTGACAACTGCCAGGTGCTTTACATGGGGCTGCCCTTGACCACCCAGAAGCTTCAACTAGTTCAGAATGCAGCAGTGCAAGCAGTAATGGGCATGTCTTGGTATGCCCACGTAACACTTCTGCTTTGTGGGATGTCCTGGTTGTGAGTTTGGTTCTGAATGTGTTTCAAGGTGCTGGTTTTATAGGGCCTGGTTACTTGAGGAACTTCCTGTCTCCCATAGTATTTTTCCGGAAAGCTCAAACTGGCAGGATTGGTGCGCTCCAGGCTGCATTGATTAAACTATCAGGATTCTTCTCTGTAACAGAGCTTGATAGAAGTGGGCTTGACATAAAGTATCTCTCCGTTCCAAATATTAAATCTATTAAAGCATAAAGGAAGAAAGGGATTATGGTGGGCCTCAAGCCCTGCCTCAAAATATAAAGTCTGAATAATGTAAAAATTGACTCTATGTATGTGTGCACACAGCTGCAAATGCACACATGCAGCAGGCCACGGGTTCTCTTTAGCCTTTTGTGAAGTCACTCTAAATTTTGTTTATAGTGAGGGTGGTTTAGGCTGCAATTTTAACTTTAGCGGGTGATAAAGAATGGTTAGTTGCACCTTATTGAGGTAGGCATAGGAGACATTCTAGTGTTTCTTTTGAAAACATTGTGGTCTTTCCAATTTATATAGCTTAAATCGGTTGACAGCGTGGTATAGTAAAATACTGCTGTAATTTTTAAACCCTGTCAGCATGAGAGGTTGCTCATAGAAATTACTGGTTAATAGTAATTTCAATAGTTTTATTGAGGTCCTCACCCTGTACGCATTTATATTTGTTTATCTTCTTGTCTATTGAAGATCTGTTGTATCTTGTCTTTATTTTGAACGCTTACTGCCCAGGGTAGCATTTTCTTACCTTTATATTGTAGATGGACTGGTCGCAATTACCTGCTGTGCATCAATGTCCCAACCTGCAAAAAAAAGGATGTCTTAAGTGTAATGGATCATAATTTAGTCATAATTGCTTGCTAAAGCCACTTTCTAGTAGAGTTGTCCATACTGGAAAAAAATTCAGGCTTTGTGTGAGCCATGGTTTTAGGCTTCATGTGTGCAGTTTGATGAGTAATATCTAAAGCAGTTTTTTTAGATCATTTTTTAATTGTGCACAGTCCGGCTTTGTGGGATGAATTTAGAAAAATCAGTAAAAAATGGTGAGTGACGTCACACATTTTGCAAGCCATTGATCTCTTAAGTACTGTGTATTTTATTGAATAAGATGTAATTTACAAGATTTGCAAAGCATTTAGATTGAAGCCATGGTTACAGCAGATCTTGACCAGCAAGAAATTACTCTTGAGAAGAAATCTGAATGTTGAGATGAATTCCACACATCAGTGGGTCCCACATCTTCTCCCTTGATGTTGGCATTGCCAACTCAGAGTTGCATGGGAGATGCGTTTATGCAAGAATAGCATTTAGCTCCTCCACAGAAGTGGGTGTTCTATGGCAAATTAAAAAAAAATTGCTGTCAATTTTCTCACAGCATAATTCATGTGATCTGGTAAGGATGCTAAGATAGAGGGCCAGGGAGTTGAGAATTAGTACATAGTTTTCAGAATCTTGCAATATTCTTGGGAGTTCTTTTAATAGAAACTTTTGTTCTAATTGCAGTTAAGTGGAACAACATGAACTTGGATTTAGTTATGGGGTCTTTGACAATTTATTAGATTTTAAATTCTTTTATTGATGTTTAAAATAGTGACAAAATGAGAAAATCAAACACAGAGATAAAAATACATTGTCAAAGAAAAAAAAGACACATAGGAAATGCTTTTTAGAAAGTTGGACAAGATGTAAAATTCCAGGAATAGATGAGCTCCTATAGAGCGGTATAAAGCATTTATAGGTCTTTTGATGCCAAAACTTTGTCAAATATATGACAGCATTCTGTTGGAAAATGTAATAAGGATAATGCTTCTATAAAACATGCAGTGTCCAACAAATATTAGGTTTTGGGAGAAAGTACTAAATTATATAAATAACAAAAGCTAAAATTTTCAGATGCTAATATTCTTTTTTGAACTACATATCTAATATTTGGAATTTGGAAACCAGACAACATAAATAAATTCTTCATGTCCTTATTGCCAACTATTAAAGCACTAGAAAGATAAATGTATGGCCCTTTTCATTCCATGGATTTACATTTGTTACTTATGAGGATATTGCCTATAGATGTAGATTTTATATGGACAAGTATAATGGTATATAGAGTTCATTTATACATGGCTAAAAATGGTAGTGATATGTACTTGAATAATAAATGATTTGCTAATCATGCAGAAAATTGTAACTACTGCTAAAAAACTATTATAAAATCAAGAAGAATAAAAATGCTAAAAATATTATCATTTCCTGCAGTCATGAGATTAGCAGTTATCAGGAATTTGTAGAAAGATATTTATTATTGTCCTAGCTAATAGTCATCAACTATTAAATTAATTTATCAGTGCTGTTAATTTGTATTTATTGTTGCTCTACTTAACATTTATTAGTCATTTTGAGCTATCAATTAGCAATGACATTACAGTAAGCATGGTATTAGAGTCTTTGATGTTCTAAGATATGCAGGCCTTTTTCCCCTTATTTTAATTTTGTATCAACTAAGAAAATTGAGAGTTTGGGGACCACTGAAAGAAATACATGTGTAAAATATCTTGGAATTAGTCCAAATGTTCTTTAACACAAATATACTCATTTTTAAACAAAATAAAAAGAAAAGAATTTGAAGCAATTCCCATCAGCTTTCCGCAATTTAGGGTAGAATTATTTTAACTTCTACCATACCAAGAACATGAACAACAACCATATTCAAACATCTGAGGACACAAGATTGGAGAAGTTTTCATTTTCCAGGTGTATTGTATTCCAACTTCTTAAATAGGTTTGGGATTATTTAAATTGTGATTCTTAACATGGAGACAACTATTGCCTACCCCTACGTTAGAAGGATATAAAGAAGTACATCTAAACCCCGCAAATTTAATACATTTTGTTCCTAGAAAAAGGAAGATTGTTGTTGACTTTTATAAGAGCCATACATATAACCTTGTTTCATTCAGATTTTTCTAGTTGAGTCTTTGGTGGCAAATACCCTTTTACTATTGTCCTTTTAATCTGTTTCCTCCCTATTGATTGGCCTTTTCACTTGACCCATCAAACTACAGATTAGGAAGCCAACAATCATTTACAGTTTTGTTTAAAAGTAAAAGATGGGAAATGAAGATGTTCTAGTCTGAATATTAAAACTTATTAGATATTAAAGTGGCAGTGGCAATCCTCCACAACAGTTCCAGTTTCCTACATGGCCTTTGGGGAAATTACCCACCTCTATTTTAAGGTCTAACGTTCTCCTTATTAGATGAATGTTTAGAATTGTAACTTTAATCCAGAATTTTTGTACTAAAGATTCTATAATAAAATGATTTAATCGTATTGGTCCAATATTTTTTCTTCCTGTACAGAAGTCTTTGCCATCATCTCATGTTTCTTTGAAAGAGATCATCACTCAGTGGAAACAGTAAGCTTTTCTGTTTATTATTGGAAAGTGGTTAGAGATGTTTTGCCTCTTGCTATTTTATAGGTATACTTAAGTATTAAATTGTTTTTGCACTTGGTTTAACAGTCCTGATGTTGTGAATAATGTACCAGAGATCCAGTACTGAGTTTTAGACTAGTTTCAAACAACAGTGTAAGAAGAGAATTTGTTCGTTGTCAATAATTTACTCAAAAAGCTGCTTATAGTTGCAACTATATTAAGACAGATACTTAAATTAGCTTTCTTACTTCAGAATATCACTGTTTTGAGCTTTTTTGAACTATTGGTACCCGAATTATCTTTTTTACACAATAAATTAGTACAAAGCCCAGTAATCTCCTGGAGCACTGAATTACAATAGAAGTATGAATATAAAACTATGATGCATTTAGCTGAGCCATTTTGTCGTTTGTTCTCTTGTATATGATATGGCTTAAACATTTACATGAGTGTAGAAATACTTCAAGAAAATCCTAGGACCATGTTCTTGCATCTTAGATTATTACTGGACTTAATTAAGTTTTGCATTGTAATTTTATGGTCATGCATAGGATGTGTATAGCTCTAATTATATTTTTAACATTAAATTTAAAGTCTGCTGGCCTTATATTTTCTTGAAAAAATGATCAAACTGTATCAAGTCAGATCAAGTTTGTGTGTGTGTGTGTGTGTGTGTGTGTGTGTGTGTAAGGCAAAGAAATGCCAGCTTTTATTTCTGCCACAATAAGTGCTTCTGAAGAGGGGCACACAATTGAATACATTTTGAAAATCTTAGCAAGCCTTATTAACTCCAGCATCCTTAAAAAATCTGTTTAACAGGACTTACTCACAAATTCCAAAACAAAAGGCCATAGAAACCAAGAGAGGCACTCCAGGAAAGCTCAGAATTCCTGACCCCAAGAGCAGCTCTGAGAGCTCAGAGGAGGAAGAAGCAACACAAACCATAAAAAGTAAGAACCAGTGGGAATGAACCATTCAGACAAGTATTCAAATGATTGACTTTGAGAATATAGGTGCATGAAAAGGGGAGATATACATGCCTAAATCTTAAAACCTGCTGATTTATGATTTCTTAGTGGAGAACAAAGAAAGTTGGAAGGCTGGGACATTAATGGCATGGGTATCTTAAGAACATTGTACCTCATTCCCTATAAGCTCCAAAAATGGTTAAAAAGTGTGAAATAAGCCCCTACCCATATTAATGGAACACAGAAGGAAATGAGATTGGAAACAAGAGGGAAATTTTAGGATTTATATATTGCATATATAATGCATTTATATATTATTCTGGCAACATTACAAGTTTACAATATTTGGAATACTACTTTACCACACCTTAGTTCTATATAGTGTTAGCATTCCAGATTAATTAGAATTGTGATTTGACACTTTAGGTATTTAAAATTCAAATTGCATCTATGACTTTTTTTAACCTTATCTATAGAACTTAGCTTTGAACAACATGTTTTAATCATTGTCTAAAAGCTTCCATTGTTAAGGTACAGGTTTGGCAATTTATAAAGCAACATATTTTTAATTTTGGAGATCAGCAATTCTAGTTAATCTTTTTCTTGCAATACTTGGTTGAAAGTCGGTTGTATTTCTTTACAACTTCCCATATCTGAAAAAAAACTGAAAATTCAAGAATAGAAAATAATTAACTTTGAGAAGATTTAAATCAGGACAACCTCAGTACACTTTCATGTATTATTGCTATTTGACATAGCTTGTGCAGAGTAGTTTATATTGGGTCTGTGTCCATTTGCACTAGCATAGACAAAATCATTTCAACCAGATGCTTAAAAGAAACTTTTAATCAGCATATTTTATTTCCTACCTATCACTTAGTGGTCATTTATCCTTCGATAGAAAAGGTAGAGAGCAGAGCCCTCTTCAGTGATTCAGTTTGGCATCTCCTTTTCTAGAATCTTTTCCATTCTAGTTGGTTGTAATATAAGTTGAAAAAAATTACATTCAGTTTTTCAAAATGTTGTGCTTTTATATGGGTGTGCCAGCTAATCTGCGTGGGAATAACAGCACCAAGCCAACAGTAGCTAAAGAAAAGAGTAGCAGCGAAGATTCATCTTCAGATTCATCTTCAGAAGAGGAAGCAGTTGCCAAGAAGACTGTAAGCAAAAAGACTTTGATCATTGCTATTCTGCTGGAAAATATTTGGAGTGTATCTAGGATGGTTGATTAGGACTGTACCCAGGTGTCTGTTATTTTAAAAATTATCATCATCATCTTCATTTAACGATCCCATAATCCCTTACGGGGTGGAGTCTGGGCAAATGAACATAGTTAGCAGAGTGTTTTAATGGCTGGATGCTCTTCCTATCGCCAATGCGGAGTTTTGTTCAGAAGATATATTCTCAGTGTGTCCAAAGAGAGAAATATCCGCCTCTGCCTAGGATGAAACTCATAGCCTCCTGAGTGTGAGATGAGAGCTCCACCTCTGGGCCCTGCACCACTCATTATTTTAAACATTATGTCCTAGAAAATATTTAAAATCTGCAGTCAGATGCAAGTGACTGTCTTGACTAAAAACTTACCTGCATTTCAAAAACAGAGTCCATAGGTTGTATTGTCACCGTTGGGTTTTTTTTTTTTTTTTACAGATAAATTCCTCAGTGGCAAACTTTATTGTTTATCTTAGTGTTAACTAAGAGAAAAAAGTAAACATGTAAATTTACTTGGGAAAAGCTGCCTTCAATATTGCTTCAAAATGATGTCTTTAATTCAGTTCTATAACATATCAGAACATACCAAAGACACATACACAGAGGGAAAAAGTTCATAATTTTAAAGTATACCATTGACTAGGTGTCTTCAGTCATTGCAAGGTTTAAGGTATAGAATTTGTTTCTTAATTCCCCCACTTAAGTGGCAGGGATGAAACAGCCTCCTCTGGTGACCACAAAGGGAATGCTTGTATTGGCCAGATCCCACTTTTATACCCCTGAACTAGGGTCAACCTCTGTAGAGATTCTCAGTCATCCAGGTCATGGTTGTCCCAAATGTGCTTTATTCAGGAGGCCACTGGACTTTCTTGTTTTTTCTTTGAGGAAGTTTTGCTTCCCATCCAAGAAGCTTCTTCAGCTTTAACAAGATAGTGGGGAGTGGAAGGATTTATATTCCTTGCAGACAGCTGGTCATTTGCATCCTTTAGAGGGTCGTTGAAGCACTTGGAGGTTTATCTGTATCCTCAGAGTCACCTGAGTAGTGCTCCTGATTCCTTTAATCTGCATTTTTTTTCTCAGAGAAATATAAATCCTTCCACTCCCCACTATCTGGTTAAAGCTGAAGAAGCTTCTTGGATGGGAAGCAAAACTTCCTCAAAGAAAAAACAAGAAAGTCCAGTGGCCTCCTGACAAAAGCACATTTGGGACAACCAT